ATCACAAAATAATTTATAACAAATCCGTGCCTGTCTCATCAACTCTATATAAGTATACATAACTTTACATAACTATAAATCTAAAGTCTACCTTGTCTACTATTTTTGGACTTTTTACATAACATCATCCAAGATCATTTTTAGTGATCCCAGGCTAAGTACCTATCATTATAATCAATTTGTCTTGTTTCCCTAGAATAGAAATTAACTCATAAACAATTCTTTTTTAAGATATATTATAACCCCATAAATCTGGACATCTGTTATATCAAGATTTATGTATTTTTATTTATTTATTTATATGTAATTTCAATTAAAAGGTACTTTAGGCCAGATTCTTATATAGAGATGATGAGACAGGCACGGATTTGTTATAAATTATTTTGTGATCACTTACTAAATTAATTGAATCTGTAAGTGTAAGCTAAGTATTTTTTATATATATTTTTTTATTATTTTTATATTTTTCAGTTTTCAAATATTGGTTAACTACAAACTTTTTTTCATAATTTACTATATAGTTACAAAAAACACAAAATAGTTTTTTGTCTTCTATGTAAAAACTTTTTCAATAAAGGTTATATTTTCATTGATGTTTACTAGCAATAATCTTTTTTTTTTAATAGATAATCAGAAAAATAGTGTTAATTGTGCAAATTATATAATATGCTATAACTGATATGCTAAATATGTGTTCGATATATTGGATAAACATATGATGATAGATATGCAGTTGTATATAATATGTAAAAAAAAGACTGCATATATATAGTACTTATTTTTGGTCACCCTAATATATATTAAGAATATTTCTTTTTTAAAAAATGCTATTGAAAAATAAGTAATATAGAAAAAAATATATTTAATTTATTAATATATTAAATAGAACATTAGAAAATTTATAATAATATTTATAAATATTAAAATTTATAGTTAAAGAATAATTCAAACTATGAAAAGAGCAAAATATTATTCTTTAATTTATATTTAAAAAAAAAATTTCAATAATAAGTAAGCTGATATATAAAGTTATTTAGATTATAATTATTTTTATTAATTTATAATAAAGACAAGTTATATTAATTTAATAACAATTCAAAAAAATAATAAGTTTTTTAAGTTTTTTAAATAGTTTAAAATAAAAAGAATATTTTAATTAAATGAATCTTTTTTAAAAAAAGCTTATTAACTTAAGTAAAAATTATTAAAGAAATTTTAAATTGTTTTTATTTTTTTTTTTTAATATATATAATAAATTATTGATAATTCTAATAAATAATAATTAATAATATTAATTTATTAGAATATTAAAATATTATTATCTAAATTTAATTTAAAGCATTTAGTTTAAATTTTATTTTATTTAATTTTAATTGATTTAATAAGTCAGTTATATTTTAAAGTCATATAATTCATTAACTAATAATATGTAATTGTAAGTTAATTAATATAAATGGTTTAAATAATATTATAGATATTTATTTAATATTTTAATAAAAATACAGTATATTATAGTGATAAAATTTAAATTAAAAAAATTTAATATTATATAAATTATTATAAAAAATTTTTTTTAAGATATAAACAATGAAATTAATAAACTAAATTATAAAAATAAATTAATATGTTTTAAACTTTTATATGAAATTTTTTAAACTAAAAATCAATAATAACAGAAATAAATTTTGAATATTAAAAAAATTTTTGATAAAAATTAATGTTTTAAATTTTTTAAAAAGAAAAATATAAAATTAATATATAATTGCTTTCAAAAGTGTTTACTTACTATATATTTATTATAAATTTCAACTTTGTCTATTCTTATATCTTTAATTATACAATCAAAAATTATAAAATCTATATACAGTATATTGTATCTTAATATTTGTTCTATTTCTCATATTTTTTTATTTAAAGTTTTATTATTGTTAAATATTTTTATTTTTTTATAAATTATAATATAATTATAATAACAATCAATCAAAATCATTTAAAAATAAAAGTTTAATAAAGAAAAAATTTTTTACCAATAATAAAACTTTAAACTAGTATTAAGGCATAATATATAGTATATGAATTTTATAATTTTTGATTGAATAATTAAGGATTTAATAATTGCTAAAGTTAAAAATTATAATAAAAACATAGTAAGTGGACTCAAACTTTTGAAAGCAACTATAATAATAATTATTTATTTAAAAAAAAAGTATTAAAATCTAAAAAATAAATGAAATTAAGAAAATTTTTAAATACTGTATCTAGTCAATATAATAGCAATTTCAATTTTTATTAATAATAAAAACAAAAACAAAAGAAAATAGAAAGACTGAATAGTAAAGCATTAATAATTATTAAAAGCTAAATTATGACTAATATTAAATAATTGGATTTTAACTTTTGAATTTTGATAAAGAATCAACCTTTAAAAAAATTTTTTTTAATAATTTGATTTTTAAGATTTTATACTATTTAGTTCAATAATTTTAATGTTTCAAACAAAAAAAAGTCATCAAATCATATTTAATTATTTCTATATACTGTAGCTGTTATTACTTTCCAAATAAAGTATAACATTACAACTCTAATTTCTAGCTTAATATTCTACATATTCTATTAAATGATTGAATGGAAAGCGTTGCTTTGATTCGGTTATTCCAGAAATTCAACAGGGTTCGTTATTTAGCTATTGAATATTAAATAATTTGAGAAACATAAGTTATATTACCAAGTTTTGTTGCTGCCGAGAATAAGTGAATCTCTTGATGCATAACTACTTCTATTCGATGATATAGATAATGGCCTCCCAACTTCATTTGTTCGTTCGGGTGGTGGGGGAAATGCATCTTCAACTTTCACCTCCAAATCAATTGAATTTGCAACTATTATTGATTTTTCAGCGATAGTTATCTCACTATTAAGACTTATATTCTCTCAAGAGTAACTATTATCATTGGTTTCTTTGGGTGGTGGAGTAAGGGAAAATCGAACTGGTGAGCCATTCTTTAAATTTATTGATATTGTGGATAATCTGTTTAGTTGTTTGGTCGGTGAATCCAAATTATTAAATTCCTGATTTTTATATAGATTCGTTCCTATGAGCTCTGAAGACTTTGGTAATTCCCGTATGATTTTTCTATCGACATTCAAATTTTTATCAATGCCTGGATCTTGGTGTGAATAAGATTTTTTGTCATATCGTCTATAAACCAAATATGCTGCTAACCCGACAATTAATAGAAATATTAATATTGAAGTTATTATTATAGTTTCAAACACGCTTGATAAGTTGTTGGTTTCGCTTGATTTAAAAGTTCCCGTTAAAGTCACCGTCTGATTATTAGTTTGTGTTGGAGAACCTTTAGCAGCTGTAGGATCACCAGGATAATATTGACTAGTCGGATATGGATTTGAAACTGAATTTTCTAGTATTGACGTCGCAGACAGAGTTTGAGTGATAAAAATAGTTTGTAATGTGGGAGGGTTTGTAGCTGTGAGAGGTTGGGAGAGAGTACTTTGCCAAGTTTGAATGGGCGGAAGCGAGGGAAGGCTGGGAAGAGAGGGCAAGGGTGGTAACGTGGGTAGGGGTGGTAACGTAGGTAATGATGGGACAGATTGTGAGGTGAGAACAGTGAATTGACGTTTATTTTTTCTCCCAAAATTTTCTTTTTTCCGACGAAATTTGACCCATTTATTTCCTTTGTGCAATTCTCCTTGCTTGCTATTTCTTCGTTTAAAATTAATCATTCTGGTGAGATTTCTTGTCTGAAAGCAAAACTAGAAAAATTTTGGGAATGTGAAGAATAACCCGAACGTCCTTCAGTAAAAAGGTCAAGGGTTTATTAAGAGTGCTCGCATGTACTTAATGAAAAATAACGCCTTGTACACTTGGAGGAAATCCATGTGTGGTATCACAATTTGATTTCTTCATCGAACACCATGAGAACATTAGGTGCATTAAAAAAGATATTAAAAGGTATATTTTGTTTCTACACCATTATAGAAAACAAGTAAATACGTAAATTTACGTTTGTGAAGGCTGTTTTGCATAAATTAGCTATACCAAACAAAAATTTTTTTAATTTATTATAAGAAAATAAACTGAAATCATAATTGTTTTACAAATTTAGGAATTTGTCGTGATATCATGTCACAACATGAATGCTACAATATATAAGTTTGACGCGATGTCAAATGGTTTTAGTTACTGTATTTACTATTTACCACTGAAGTTGGTTTATTTTGTTTGTTATTACATTACTGTATACAGTATATTCTAGCGTATAATTAATGCATTTATTAGTTCGAAGCATAGCGAAGGACTATATTTCTATGCGTTTGATAAAAGATGTCCATCTATCCACCCTTGTATTAAATTTTTCAAGTCCACCCTGTATTAAAATTTTTATTTTTAACTCCGTTTTTTAGTATATATTGTTAGTGGTCGGCGACACTTGCACGTGATCCCGTGTACGGCTCCGCGAATTTACTGGATAGACAAACTAATAAAAACTTTTTGATAGACACATTAATATTAGTAAGTCACCAGATAAGCTATAAGATAATTAAAAAGGACTATAAGATAGGAGGGTATAAAAGAGGTGTTGAAATGCACAAAAGGGAAGTAGCAAGTGAATCAGAATAAAATAGAAACGAAAGTTGAGTAGAACACTTCCTCGATCATGTCGAAATACCTCTCGTATACTTAACCATTACATGAGTTGATTGACAGATTCGCCGCCAATATACAGTATATACAGTACATTATGATTTATTTTCCTTTTATATTAAACTGAAGAATTGTATATCGGTTTTTATTAAAATACAAATATTTTAAAAATTATATAGAGAATCAAAATATACTGTTAATTTTACGTTATTTTTTTAACCCAAAATAAAAGGTTCTATATGTACTGTAATTTTATGATAACCTTATAAAATATTTTAATAAATTCGAAATAGTATTTTAGAGTTTGATTAATTTAATAAAATCAATAAATGGGTAATTATTTTCAAAGGCAAATAGGGATTTTTCGGACCCCATAACTGTGATCATAAAATTTGCATTATATATATTGTTAGGCTTCGTGGCGAGTCAGTCGCTAAACCCGGGATACATTCGCGTAACAAAGTTGCGTGAATACGCATACACACCAAGCAGAAAGAGGCGTTTGGATTTGGTCGAGTAAGTGCTTCTCGCGACTCGCTCCTAACGGTCCGAATTCACTTTTCTTTACGGCAGTTTTTTGACTAACTTCCTTTTTATACTTTTCTAAAGTGCTATCTATCAACA